CAGGGGCCCCGCCGGACAGCGGGCAGCGGACAGCGCCTCGCTCGCACTGACCCTCGGCCGGCCGGCGGCCCCACGCACCCGGGACGGTGTCAGGGGCGCACACAGCCCTGATACGTAACTAGCGTGAATGAAGTTTTCCAAATTTTTATTATTTAATGCAGATTGCTTTTCCTTTAGGGTTTCCGCAGGAGTGTGGCCAAAATGAGGTAGTTGTAACCTACTTTAGGTGAATTTCCAACTGCACTTTACAGCACTCGTTGGGTGCTCTTCAAGTAGAATCACCTTTTTTTTTTTTTTTCGGATTCAGTTTCCAGGTGAACTTTGATGCAGTTTGGATTGTTTCCTTTGTTGACTGCATCTCGGAGCTTTCCCGCTAAATCATACTTTGACCGTGGGAGTTTCCGGAGAGACGGTCTTCCAGGCCACCTGTGCATCACGGTAGCATCAGGGTAGCTTGGTTTTAGTAGAGTCTTAATTTGATTTTGAAAATGCTCAGAAACCTTAAGCTTCTCTAGGGCAGTTTTATTTCTATTACATCATGTTGCGTGGTGGAAGTACATCCTTGGTCTCTGTAAGGAACAAGTCGTAAGTTCCCTGTGAAATTTTTTTTTCCACAAGAAATTTTTAAGGATTCCTATTTCTTTAGCACAAAATTAGAAGCATTAAGAGCTCTCTGGAAGTCACCATTCATTAAAAATTATCTCACATTCGCGTCTGTCCTCTCCGTATTCCAGTGCCTCCTGGAATATTGGTCTTAACTTGAATGATTGAGCATGTTCACTCTGATTGTAAGCTTTAAGTCAGGTTTCATCATGCCCATAAGAAGGATTTGTAATGAAACATGCAGAGGGGCAGAGTAATGGCAGCAGTGTCTTGTGCGAAAAAAAGGTTTCAAAAGTAGAGTGGTAACACAAATCCATTCCCTTTTGCTAAACAGTGTGATTGTGTTTATGATTATTTTAGAACCTGACTGCTTGTGTAGTTGGGGAATGCTTATGTAGGCTGTTAGCTGTGTCAGAAATAGCCGTTCCCTCAAAATACTTGTTAGTAGGAACCAATCAGTTGAAGAGCTCTTTGGTGGAAAAGCAATAAATAGGTAATTTGGGATGCAAACTAGCCCCGCCTTAGTAAACCTCTGATGAAACTGAATTGTGTGGCTCCCTTCCGTCTGTAGATGTGGCTTTAAGTCCCTTTCTGCTTGATGGGTGCAATTTTTTTCTGGAATGATGGGGATTCTTAGAAGAGAGCTGTGGAGTGGCCTTTTTCACATTTTGAACCAGGTTGTGTTTGGCTTAAGGAAAACCTGAATTGTACTTTTAAAAGATGGGCAATTTTGGGCTGGCCCGTGGCTCACTTGGGAGAGCGTGGTGCTGACAACACAAAGTCAAGGATTAAGATCCCCTTACCAGTCATCTAAGATCCCCTTACCAGTCATCTTTAAAAAAGAAAAAAAAAAAATGGGCAATTTTAGTTTCAGCTTAGAAATGAATGTGTGTCTGGGTGAAGTAGATAATTTTAAGTCCTATTACAGAATTTCTTGGGAGAGCGTGGTGCTGACAACACAAAGTCAAGGATTAAGATCCCCTTACCAGTCATCTTTAAAAAAGAAAAAAAAAATGGGCAATTTTAGTTTCAGCTTAGAAATGAATGTGTGTCTGGGTGAAGTAGATAATTTTAAGTCCTATTACAGAATTAAAAAAAAAATTCCTTTGTACCACTGATTAGTGGAGAGCTAATTAGGTGCTTAGGGATTTCTTAGTTCTGAGAATTGCTGCATCCTTTTGGAAACAATTCTAAATATATAATTTTAATTTTTCTATTACCCACATAGCCTTAAGTTTATTTTCTTAGGTAGTTTAAGTACGTTTCAGACTTGTTTTGAAATTTCAAGTATAAATACCAAAAATCGTGTTTACATTAATTCTTGCATTGAAGGATTTTTTTAATTTTGATGGTTTTATCTGTCAGTTTAGTACTAATTCATGTGATTAATGATCTGTGGAGAATAGAGCTGGGAGCATAGACTCTTTGAAAGCTAATAGTGCAGAGGTCATTCTTTAAAGACCTATATCCAATTTGAAAGAATCCTGAATTGTGTATTTTGGCATCTTTAGGGATTTATCTTTTTTGTTGTTTTTACGCTACTGTGGAAAATATTGTGAACCTCTTTGTTCAGCCACACAGCTGCAAAAGGGTTGAAAGTCACTAGTTTAAGGATCTTTTCAGAAGAGTTTTGAAAACTCTTTATAGCTTATAGCAGTCAAGCAGAAACCCACTCAGCAATAAACTCAAAGATCCCTTGAACTCACGTGAAGAACATGTTTTCGATTAAAAAAAAGTTTTAAAGATAACTTTTGTATTCTGCTATTAAATTGGATCTTGTTATTGGCAAGTAGTTGTATTCGTGACTATGGTCCTTGTCTTTAACTTTATTACTAAAATGCATTGGAGGTATATCATAGCTAAAGTCAGATAGCTGACTAATAGTGTCCATAAGTAAACATAAATTAGTATCTTCTAATTGCATATTTACATTTTTAACATTTATATGTGTTAGAGGTCATTAGCAAAGGATATTCCCTTTTGATGAGTTCTGTACTTTTTTTTATCCCTAGTGCAATTTCTCTTTACGTTTTAATTTTTTCCCTCTCTTCCACTCAATCAATATTTATTGAACACTTAACTATGTGTCAAGCAGTATTTTATATTTTAGGCCCTGGGACAGAATAGTGAATACAACTAAAATCTTTGCTGTCTTGTAGATGACATTTTAATGTTTAATTATTTTCCTTCTATTCCTGTTTGGTTGGAGTTTTTATTAGGCAGGTTGGTAAATTTTATAAAATTCTAGAAATAAAAATCCCCATCTTTTTATGAAATTAAGAACTTCAACAAAAATAAACAAGCAAATTAAGAGCTAGAAATATATAACTGCTGATTACTGATAACATTGAGTAACACTATCTCATATATAAAGATACTATTCCTAATCCACCAGTGGAAGGGTAGGGTAGAGTGGGTTATGTGCCCCCTGGATGACCAGTGGCAGCAACTAAAATAGCTCCCTCATAAACTGGGTTTCTTTCTTTGACACCGGAGTTAATGATACAAAGTGGTGTGTAGCCCCTATTTTGGTTCTTAGTACATTTTGATTTTGAAGTTGTGCATTTTAGTGACGTTTAGGGTTAAGGCCCCATTCTTCCAGAGTGTGGATGAAAACACTCTTAGAAATATGTGTTTAAGCACAAATGGGAACAAATTAAAGTGTTTGAGTCCATATCTAGTGTCCCACTGAGCACTATGCTGGGGAGGGGCATGCACAGATAATTAAAAATGGTCCTTTTTCCTGATGCACACCCAGTCTAGTGGGGCAAACAAACCTCTGTGGAAATACCATATGCCAGTATGAGAAATGCCCTACTGGTGGCATTATAAAGCCATGTGCTGTGTAGACAAGGATGCAGGTATTTCTGCCCAGTGGAGTCAGGAAAACCTATGGAAAGGAGTTGTCGTAGGAAGAGGGTTTTTAGGATAAAGAGGTGTTTGGATAAATAGTCACGTAGGTGGGAGAAAGAACATTTTGAGTAGAGAAAATAACTTGAACAGAGGCGTGGTAGAAATTTGAACACTGAAGTTAGTTATTACAGTGATATCAGATCATTTAAGTAATAATGACATAAGTGTGTTTTCAGTTCTTTAAATCTGATTCTGGTTTTTCTTATTTTTAGTATATGTTGAGTTTACTATAAATTGGCACCTGTAATGTTGGTGCACTTTTGCTTTTGTTTTATTAACTTTATTCATACTGATTTAATAATGGGGCAGGTTTGTTGCTGCTTTTTATTAAAATGAGTGATCCTAACTCTTTTAATTTTATTTTAGATTATAGCATTTGATGAGCTGAAGACTGATTACAAGAATCCTATAGACCAGTGTAATACCCTGAATCCTGTAAGTTATAATATAGGATTTATCTTTAGATTTTTAAAATGTGTTCGTTTTTAACTTGATATAATTTGAAAAGGGCCAATATTCTCAGTATCATGATATATTTGTACTTTTTGAAGTAGGCAGAATTAAAAAAATATTCTTTTTCCTGTCATGCTTGACTATTATTAATCTACTTGTGATCTTGTCAGCTGTCATACTAACATTCTTCCAATCTGCTTTTTACATTGTCGGCCAAAGACAGTTGAAAAGGTCAAAAAGATTAAAAGAGTCAAAATTGCATTAAAGGTGTGTACTGCTTTTTAGTTTAATGTTTTAATGCTACATTCATTTCATGGGGAGGGTTAGGGCATTTGTATTTGTAATGTTTTGTTCAGTGTGCTCGTTCATATGCCTGTTGAGGTTTATGATTTCATGAAATTTCATATTTTATGCAAATGTTTGCTTGCTGACCCAGTCAAGTAGGGAAAGCTGTTAAATGCTTATGCATTTTTTAAATGTAATAGCCATAGGCACTTTGGTATTAATTTACTTGTATTTGGTGCATTGTTTGAAAGTTGGTTAACATAAAATGACTTTAATAGATGGTGAGATTATTCCTGGGTGTGACTTTTTGTGAGGCAGTATGCCAGTGGAATCTTCAGTACTGATTTTGCCTTCCATGTCTAGTTTTATCTGTGGTTATGTGGTGTTCTGGAATAAATTAATTCAGTCTTTCAGCTGATGTTTATTCAGAGACTTTTAGGTGGATAAGTCTGTTCTGGGGCTCTGGAATCTTGCAGTAATGCTGTCCTTTGGACTCCTGGTGCTAGAGTTTTGTAGTAACAATTTGTATATCAATGTCTACATAGTCATTTCTAGTGTATATCCACTCTAAATTTCTAAAACAGGCTTGTCTTAAACTAAGTTCTGTGCTGTGATGGATTTTGTGATAATGTGGCTGCATTGTGCTTAGGGTTTTATATATATTTTACCTCACTTAGGAAGGTTCTCCTGTAGTCTGTAGGTTTGATTTTGCTTGATTGGCCAAGTGAAAGGTTGTTTGTAAGAAACCAGTGGGTATGTCTTCAAGAAATAGAATACAGTAAAAATTACTTAATGAAGATGAGAATTTGTGGAGGCTTTGGTAGTGTAAAACTAATGCACTAACATGGTAGAGGGATTTTGTTTGGAAAAGTCTAGAAAGTCAGTTTGCTACATTATCATTGTTTCCCAGTTAATGTGAATGATGGAATAGATTTCTAGTTTGTGGAGAATGGTTAAGTAAGACTTAATGTAGGTACAGCTAAAAGTATTAACTTACTAGCTGTTTCTCTGCTCTTATGAAACAAAACATGAGAAGATGAATCTACCTTCTCCAGAAAGTTGTAAGTGTTCATTGTAAAACATCTTAACCTTAGTAGTTGAAACTGATTGTTACCAAGAAATAAAGAAACTGAAATTGCTCCTTATGACAGTTGTTTGTTAATAGTATTCTATGCTCTTTGGCTTTTCATTACTTCAAGTAACTAGACAATGCTGAGGGTAATAATAGCTGAAATCAGATGAGGACTTTCCTGGGTGCCAGGCTGTGTGCTAAGCATTTTACCTTGATTTTTTTCATTCAATTCTCATGACAGTCCTAAGAGGTAGGTAATGTTCTCATGAGTAGGAGAGTAAACTGAGGCTTTGTGAGGTTAAAGTACTTTGCCCAAGGTTACACAGCTATGGTACAGCCAGAATTTGAACTGAGATAGCCTGATTTTTGAAGCTCAAGATCTTGTATTTCCCTAATTTACTGTAAATTTAAGAGGGACTAATTTCATTTTAACATATAATGTGTGATTTTTGGCTTTTCTTAATGGAAAGAAGTTCTCACTGAGAAAAGACATGTGTTTGGGACTCCCTAATGTTTCAGTAGGTTGGAAGGATGTTTTTACAGCAGCGTAAGTTGCGTTTTGCATCGGGTGCCGATAATTGGCTGAATAGCAGTGCATCTGACAGTTTTCCCTATTTAAAGTTGTTTTGACAGTTCTGCCAAAGTATGGGGGAAGACAGATACCATTTTTTAAAAAATGTGAACTTTAAGAAGAGAATATTCTGTTTTGCATGTTTGAGTACTATCATTTCAGCCATATTTGCATGTGGTATTTTTTCTGGATACTAGTTTTTGTGTAAACTTTGATTCCCAAATGTGTAATTTTTGTGCCACTTATGGGGACATTTTATTATTAAAGAATGATGATTGGTTTTTATAACAGATGCATAATGTTTCTGAACTTTTTTTTTGAGGAGAAGGAGTGAGTGTGATGTTTGTTTCATATCAGAACTGGTAGAATTGCAGATTATCTTTTAACACTCTTATTAAAGTATATTGTTTTAGCAATGGGTGGTCATGCTTTCAAAATCATTCCCCACACCTCAGAATTGCAGATTATCTTTTAACACTCTTATTAAAGTATATTGTTTTAGCAATGGGTGGTCATGCTTTCAAAATCATTCCCCACACCTCAGACTGTAAGTGTAAGATGAAACCTTGCATGATGGTTTGTTTGTTAGGTATCAGTTGGCTTTAGAGGGTTGAAATAGGCTTATTATATTTTAAAGAAAAACTCTATAATTTAAACTAGTATTATAAAAGCAGTCCTGTTGCACCCAACAAAATATATTTTTCTTGGTTTGTACTGGTGTACTCATTGAGTTTTAAATATGTCCTGTGGACATTTTCTTGTTTAGAGAACTTTGATCTTAAACAGATGCTAGCTTAAAAGGCTATATTATTTACAAGTTTATATACATATGTAGAGTTTATCTTTTGTTATTTATTATGGTGCTTAAGTTTGTAGAAAATATCTGGTTAGTGGTGTAAAGAAGTCGGTTTTACTGGAATTTCATTTAAAATAGTATTCATTAAAAAGTTCGCTCTGTAGCTTTAAATTGGAAAAAGTAATTTGGGATAGTTAGAAAGTGGGATTCAATATGTAGTAAAATTATATTATTTCTATGATCATGGTTCCCCCTCAGGAAATATCTGATAATATTTAAGATTCATGTGATTTTAATTTGGTATTAAGTAAACACTTGAAAAGCTGGCTTTGTAGCTGTGACTTTTGGGAGCTTTGGCTGAAACTTGCAGTGAAAGGTTTTGATATTTTTATTTAACAAAGGCATTAGGCTGAAATCTTCAGGGTAAGAAACATAATTTAAAATAAAGCATTAACTCTTGGTCATTTTATAAAAAGCATTTTGCTCGAATTAATTTTTCCTCACTTGATACTACCTACATTCAAAAGGTTTATTTTGTTTTTGAGTTCTGGGCTTCTACTGGTCTTCTGCTGTGTCTGTAGCATCTCCTTGGCAAGCAGGTGCAAAGAAACAGAAAGGCCATGTAAGAACGGGAACTCAGGAACCTGGAAGATTCTAATGTCATCGTTAAGAACTCAGTCTTTTCCCTCCTGCCTTGCAGAAAGCACTTTGTTTGCATTTGTGTGTATTAGTGTTCTTCCCCTTGACTGCTGAGATTATTGGCTGATTGGCTTTCCGTTGAAAAATTACTTTTATGGTAATGTGATGTGTTTTGCTAAATAGTGTATATGTAGCATTCCTGGTTACTGTTAAAGGCTTAAAAACACTAATGCATAAACTTCTGAAGGGGAGTTTTGTTTTTGTGAATTTTTTTATATCATGTTGCATGTGGTCAGATACCTCATTTTTGTATTTTTATCATTGTTGAACAGTGGAAAGAAAAAGTATTCCTCTTGGTTAGCAAATAATCTGTGAACAACCTGGGTGGTAACTTTGTGTAATTCAACCTGTTTCTGTAAGAATTTGAGTTTTAAGTTTTAAGACATATCTTTTAGTGCAAACTGTATCCTCTGGTCAGTTTGCTTGTACTCCTGGTTTTAGTAAACAGTTTAATGAAACCTCAGTAGCATCTGTCATTTCTGATCCTAAGAAAACAGTGATTTTTCATTATGGAAATTTGGTTGCCACCTGCTTTCCAGATTAGCAGTTGACTTAATGCCAAGGCTTTGTGATAACTGGCTTGTATTTTTCTTCCAGCTTGTACTTCCAGAGTACCTCATCCATGCTTTCTTCTGTGTCATGTTTCTTTGTGCAGCAGAGTGGCTTACACTGGGTCTCAATATGCCCCTCTTGGCATATCATATTTGGAGGTAATATTTAGATATACTTTTAATATTTTTCCTAATTAAATTTTAATTATACTGTGGTTGATATGGTATGCCAGTCACCTAAGTGAAAATTGAAAGTTAGTTGATATTTATTTAAAAAAAGTCATGTGTACACCTGTGCAACCACCACCCAGCTCAAGATAGACAATAGTTCCTGCCCCATCCCAGTCAATTACCTGTTACCCTCCGCACCTCTATAAACTTCGCTTAGTGTTGCTTGTCTTTGAACTTCACATAAATCAAAACGTACAGTGTGTGTCTAACTTCTTTCCCCATGTTTACTTTATAACTCTAAATAAATTTGGTTATTTTTAAAGATAATCATATTTCATAACTTGTAATAGTTATCTCTCCCTGTATAGAGTTAGAGTTTTTTGTTTTAAATTGGCATGTCAAAATCTCATTGCTCTTGATTTTAGGAAAAATCTATTGAAGAAGTATTTAGAAGTAAAGTGGTATTACATCTGTTACTGTCTCTGAAATGTGTCAGAAAAAAATTTGTTCTTAAAGACAAACAAGAGGGCCGGCCCGGTGGCGCACTGCTACAGTGCGCCGCTTGGGAGCGCGGCGGCACTCCCGCCGAGGGTTCGGATCCCACATACAGACCGGTTCCCGCTCACTGGCTGAATGAGGTGTGGGTGCAACACTGAGGGTTGCGATCCATTGCCGGACACGAAAAAAGACAAAAAGGAAAAAAAAAAAAAGACAAGAAAGAGAAGGATTAAGCAAGTGTGGTACGTGTGAATACTTGGAATATCTGGGTGAAGGATTCTTGCATCTCTTCTATAAGTCCAAAATTATGTGAAGATACAAAGTTAAAAGGGGGGTTACAGGTTAGCTCACTCCATTAGAGCTGATAACACCAAGGTCAAGGGTTGAGATCCCCATACTGGCCGCCACCAGAAAGGCCTTATTTTTTTTTACAATTATTTCTGGTTTTTTTTTTTTTTTTTAAATTTCTGAAAATGCAGAAACCTGATGTGACTTGTTTAGCTGTCCTATTCTGCTCACTTCGGGCTCTAGTTTTTAAATTAAGATGGTAAAAGGGAAGAGTTTCACCTGTATAAGAACAATATGTTTTTCCGTATGAATCACCTCTCATTGTAGTAAGTGTGTGAGGAGAAAAACCCTCTTTCCCATCCCGAAGTTTTGCTGCCCTTTCTGAGTGGCTAATAGACTGTGTTTATTCCAGGTATATGAGTAGACCCGTGATGAGTGGACCAGGACTGTATGACCCTACAACCATCATGAATGCAGATATTCTAGCATATTGTCAGAAAGAAGGATGGTGCAAATTAGCTTTTTATCTTCTAGCATTTTTTTACTACCTATATGGGTAAGTTTGAAAAATACAATGAAAGTACGATTTCACTTTGCTGCCTAAAAAGTTTGCAGGCATTTTGGTCTTGACACTTTAAAATCCACTTGAAGAATAACTTAGTGTCTTGAATGGTGGTAACAAGTGGTGGCACAGAGCACACCAGCAAATTCACACACATTCAATGTGACACACAGTGGTACTTGTCAAGGCAGCAAACTGGCATGCAGCCAGAGGCAGAGTTTGGTCAAGGATGCTGCTTCCTAAGTTTTCAGACACACACACATTCAGTTGGTAAAGGACCGTCATTCTGCTTGACAAAGTGATGGTATCAAGAGGGTAAGGCTGTGTGAGTTTGTAAAAAAAATTTCTAATTGGCTTCATTGTCTCTCCAGAGTTTGTATTTATTTCTTTCCTTATTTTTTATAAGCTCTGTGCTCTGCCTTTTGTTTGCTGGTTTGCTTGATCTGAACAGGATGAATGAAGGAAGTTCTACCTCACAGGGTGGTTGCAGTTACCAATTTTTCTTCTTTCATACCGTGATAGGCTCATATCATTGTTCCTCTAGGTCAGGGTTTCTCAATTTTGGCACTGTTGATATTCTGGGCTGGACAATTCTTTGTTGTGGGAGGCTGTCCTGTACATTGTAGGATGTTTGGCATCACCCCTGGCCTCTACCCACTACATGACAGTACTACCTCACACTCCCATGCGTGACAACCAAAAATGTGTCTGGACATTGCCAAATGACCCCCTGTGGAGCAGAGTTGCCCTGCTTGAGAACCACTGCTGTAGGTGTACTGTAGATGGAGTGAAATGTTTATTACAATTAGAAAAGGACATTGTTAAGTGTGAAGTTATAGTTTTTCTTTAATCTATATAAATATATTTATCTCTTATTGATATGTATTCAATTGGAGAAGGCTTTCTATCTGATTTTCAAAATATAAAAAAAAATTAGCTGTGTAAGATGAAATTGTTGAAATAATTAAGCTTCCGTTCCCTCTCCTTTTTGTTACTTACAAACTTGCTAAGTATCATATGATAGGCTTATATTCATATTTCTCTGTATATCATATGTTTTCATTATAGAAAAGGATGAATGAAGTGTTAGGCTGAAATTTAGGAAAAAGGTATTTTTATGCTTTTAGAGGCTATAACTTTGAAATTGAGTACCCTTCTGTGTATCTACAGATGTTGTTTGTGTATGAAACAGATACTGAATAGGTTCTGAAAAGTAAAATTCCATGTGTCATTCTAATTTCCTGTTCATTTTCATTTTTTAAGTTTCCATAACAAATGTCTGGAACAGTGCTGGCATATCATAGTCACTTAAAGCATATTTATTGAAAGAAAACGAATGATTAAATAAGTGATAAAGTTGGAGATATGCAGTTGTGGGATAATGTTCACCAGGATATTGGTAGCACTAGGACATTTTTTCTGTTTTAAAATTGTCAAGTTTGTTCAGCTCCTTGCTTTGCATTTCCTTGTAGAGATACATGCTTTTTGAACCGTGCCCCTATGCCTTTCTCACATCATTCTTTATGCAGAATTGCCCTTGTCAGTTCATAAGCCTAAATCAAATAGTTACTGCCATTTATGTTGCTGGTTTGTCCGCTTTTCTTTTTTAACCCCGTTGCTATTGCTTAGAGCATTTCTCTGATGGGAAAGTTGCTTAATTGATCAATCCCTTCTATAAAATGGGAATAGTAACAGTCCCTGCCTCCTAGTACTGCTTGGAGGATTAAGTGAGATGATGCATATGAAAGACCTAACAGAGGGCCTGGCACAAAGTAAGCCTTCCAAAGATGCTCACGCCTATTATTAGATACAATTCCAGAGCAGTGTGGTGTTTGGAATTGCTTCTCAAAGCTCCGATCCCCATTAAGCTTTCAGCTGTGCTGTTCTACTTGCTAAAATTGGAAAGGAAGTAGGGGACAGCTATAGCACATGCACTGAGCCAAGTCCTATGTTAGGCAAAAGTCCATCAACGCAAATTAAAATCAGATTGTGAACTTGTCATTAGTCTTTTCATTTTCCATGATACTATTTCGCTATATAAAGCAGACTCAACTTTTTTGTGCTCTTAATTTTTATAATTAGGAATGTTTGAATTAACAGCTTTCTTCTTCTTTTCATTTATCTTCTAGCATTTTTTTACTACCTATATGGCATGATCTATGTTCTGGTGAGCTCTTAGAACAACACACAGAAGAATTGGTCCAGTTAAGTGCATGCAAAAAGCCACCACATGAAGGGATTCTATCCAGCAAGATCCAAGAGTAGCCTATGGAATCTGATCAGTTACTTTAAAAAATGACTCCTTATTTTTTAAATGTTTCCACATTTTTTGCTTGTGGAAAGAGTGTTTTCATATGTTATACTCAGATAAAGAATTTAAATGGAATTACGTACACGTTAATATAAAATGATTACCTCTGGTGTTGACAGGTTTGAACTTGCACTCCTTAAGGAACAGCCATAATCCTCTGAATGATTGTGTTAATTTCTGACTGTCCTTAGTCCATTCGAAGTTTTGTTTATAGGAACTTGTAGAGCTCATTTTGGTTTTATTGAAATGCCATCTAATTATAAATTAGCAGTAGATATCAGGTGCTTCTGATGAGCTGAAAATGTATATCTGACTTGTGGGAAACTTCATGGGTTTCCTCGTCTATGCTGTAGATGACTATATATGGATACATTTACAAAAATAAGAATAGTGGGATTTTTTTTTTCCCTTTGACTTGAATATTATCCCTGAAAATTGCATGAATGAGAGATTTCCTATATTTCCATCAGAGTTGCTTTAATTCTTAAGCATAAGTGAACATGATATAAAAATATATGCTGAATTACTTGTGAAGAATGCATTTAAAGCTATTTTAAATGGTTGTAAGACATTACTTACTAAGAAATTGGTTATGCTTACTGTTCTAATCTGGTGGCAAAGGTATTCTTAAGAATTTGCAAGTACTTTAGATATTCAAAACTGAATGAGAGAAAATTGTATAACCATCCTACTGTTCCTTTAGTGCAATATAATAAAATTCTGAAATAAAGACTTATTTTCAAGTGCATTGTTTTAAAGATTATGAATAGCTATTTCTTAAACTTGTTTAATCCATAGTAAAGACATTACTGTCATTTTTTTAAAAAAATAGTAGAGTATTGTGGTTTTTCTTAAAAATACCATGCCTGAATCTAAAAAGGAAGGTTTTTAAATGGCCAAGCACATTACCCTCTGTTGTCATTTGACAGGATTCATAAACGTTGATGGCACAGCATCATCATTTCTTTTACTGGTTAAACAAAATTACTGTGGCATCTCAAATGTTTTAATTTTTTTTTTTTTCCTTTTTGAAACAGCTGGTTTTAAGATAAAACAATTTGTAAATTTGAGGTTTTGCTGTTACTTGTAAGGCAGGTAAATTAAGGCTTGCATGTTTTTGTAAACATTCTTGTGCTTTATTTGGGATGAGGAAGTTGAGGCAAATGAAAATAGTATAAGTGGTTTAGAACTTTCTTGAATGATGGATCAGAGAAAGAAAACCGATATATAGAAATTTCACATAATGATCAAGGGAGTTTATGGATATGTTTGTGGAAGTCTGAGAACTTCTTGAATTAGATGCTGTTTTATTCTCTACTAGTGAAAAAGAGCTTTGAAATAATGCTTCCCCACCTTTGGGAGAATAGCTGTTACTGTTTTGAGAGTGGGTTATGGGAGTGAGTGTGGTGAAGAAGAGAACGTAGAATCAGAAGAGCTAGGAGAGTCGAACTGTTGCATAACAAGGAAGGCGTTAGAGACCTTGTATGTTATAGTCTGGAGGACATCTACAGGGATCTCTTTGTCAGTTCTTGCATAAATTATTGAGTACTTGGCACTGAAGACTCATGCTTTGAATACAAGCAATCATTCAGATTTTAATCCACCTAAGTAATATCATCACCCTTTCCTCATTTTTCTTTTTTGTTCACAAGTACTTTTGATCATGAGAGACCTAGATGAGACAAATCTATAATCCAGATAGATTACTTGGGGCTGTTACTTTAGTATTTGTGAATTTTCGTGAACCCTTGCTGTCTCTTAGCAAATGCTACTTTATAAGTTTTAACAAACATCCTTTTAATTATCTATCCTAGAATATTCTCCAGGAGTAATGCAAAGTTTATTGGTTGGAATTTGTGGAAGTCACTTTTCTCATCCTTCCAAAATTAGATATGTAGTCCTCAGCTGATTCCTCAAAGATGATTGACAGTGAGGTTTCCCCAGCTCAGTGGTAGATTGTTAGCCTCTAGGCATGTAAATGTTTAGAAGATTGAATACCTGGATGCTCTCAAAATATCTACCCACCTTTACCTTTTCAGTGTTTTTTTAAAAAATTAGGTCATTTACAAAGAGAAAGCAGAAACGAAGTACCTGAATTTGATAATAACCCACAGGCTATTTTCTTTGTTCTGAGTTTAATTTCTTCCCCACATTAATCTATTTGGAGTGGCCCTAGCCTTACTTCTATTATTTCTGCTGGTTCAGCTGAGGCATAGTTAGCCCAGGTTTATAATCCTTTCCAGTTTATATCAGATAATCCCTGTGTAGTGACAGCTATTTGTTTGGGTATTTTTCTTCCTTGTTATAATGACTTTTGATATTATGTGCTTTATCTTTAAGAGCTTTTCAACTCTCAGAAACCATTTTCCCATTTGTGCCTATTTTATTGCATCTAGTGTAACACTTTGGGTATATCTATACCAAAAATTTTTTGTTGCTATGGATTCTACAGATTCTTCTGGATTAAAAATCTTATATAATACATGTAGTCTGTTTAGCAGTTATTCTACTGAGTAATAATACTATATCATGGCAATATTTCTCTGTCGTACCAAGGAGCTGTAGGATAGAAACTATTTAAATGTTATTGATGATGTTTCATGGTTTTCACAATGCTTAAGTGATATTCCCCACTCCCTATTCCAGGGTAGAGGAGAGTTTGGTCTCAGGCTGAAGTCTGAATTATTTTTTATAGGAAAAAGATGTGATAGGAAATGACCTGACAATCCACTTTTGAAATGTATTGCGTATTAGTAAAACATTTTTGAAGTCTCACCAGTTATTCTGTGAACCGCCAGAGTTACCAGTCAGGTTCAGATACCCAGGTTATGGTCTATCACAAGGCAGTTTGTAGCATGTGCCTCTTTTAAAGCCTAAAGTATTTTTCAGCTTGAGACCACTCATGGTAATAGCTCTCATAGAACTCCTCCTGCTTCCCAAATCAGCATATTTTGAGGCTATGTCAAATATTTACATAGAAAGGAAATAGAGCTGTATGTGCTTTGAAACTGGCAAAATATTTTCCTTTGTACAACACTTTTCTTTTTCTCCACTTATATGTTTATGAATATTGTTCATGGTATATTATTGCCATGGTACAGATAATGACTTCTGTAGTTCTCTTGTACCTTGCAGGGATGAGCTTTCATTTTAGGTGTGGCTGTATCATAGCAGTATGATATACCAATCCCATTCAAATAATGGTCTGTATTTATAAATATACATATAGTTTCCTTATGTCATTTACCATCCATAATGTGCATGTCTATATAATCATTTGTATAGTATAAATGTAAATAAAATTTTGATGGCAAAAATATTGTAAAACAACACTCTTCTTGGAGGGGGAAAGAAAAATATTGATACCTGTCTAGCATTGTTCGTAAAAGTTATTCATATTCATCCTTTTTGGAAACTATTAGTATTGTTAGTCTCAAATAATCTTAAGTTCTTTTGCTCAAATCAATCATTGATCTGCAGTCAGACCAGCAGCTAGTAAGTCTCTAGTACTAGTAATAGAGCTTAGAAAATGCTTCTGAACTAATACTTCAGAGTGATGCCAAGACAAAAAATGTGGTTCTTTTTCTGGATATATTGATTAGATTTCTTATAGCAATTTTACACTGACTAAAATTCAGAGTTGCAGAGCTAAATGTTTAAAAGGAGTAAATAACTGCTGCTTGTCCAGTTGGTTTTGGAAAATAGTATTAACCATATGAAGTGACTGATCTGTGGGGTTGGAGTAAAGGTTTTGTCCTGCATTAATTTTATTAATGCATATTGTAGATGTGTAGGTCATTTTGGCATGCAAAAGAATGAATTGCATCTTCAAATATGTTAATTTTATTGAACAGTGCTTTTTCTAAATATTTAAATTTATTTGGTTACTATG